GGATCTCGTAAATGAACTGGGCACACGAGTTTACGAGGAAACGTGAAAAATTGTTATAAAGTGTGGGTAACTTACTCCGGACATGAGCGCGCTGTCGTATATTTTGACAAGTCCTCCGCGGCGGGTCTGCAACGAGAATCTGCAACAAGAAAACATCCGTGAATCCCGTGGATCATCGTGGAAGCCGGTGAGTTCAAAAGGGATCGACCAACTACTACTTCTACGTAAAAACACAAGGGCCCGTGGAACGTTCCAGTCAAACACTGTCTGCCTACGTAACGTATACCTTCGCCGGAAGTTTCCAACTACCGAGAAAACATTGGTGACTTCCAGTCTTTCTTCTTCACCGAACCTTCGATACTTAAAATCTCCCTTCGATTTACAAACATTTGTCCAAAATTAAGAAAAATCTTCTTCTAACGAGAAAACTTTACTCCTGCTTTCCTTTTCGATTAAAAAAAAAAAAAAAAATACATCCTTTCTCCAAGATTGAATTGTTTCTCAACAATCTCTTTCCATATTCAAAATCTAAATTTCCATGAAAATCGAGAGAAACAAGGCGCTTCGATTAAAAATCTTAAGCGAATGACACGTGGACACGCGTCCCTTCTTCTCGTTCTTCGAGTCGTTAGCATAAATAAAGGCACGTCTCGTGCGCGGTCAAGCCAGACAACTCCAGAGGAACCAAGAACAAAGGAAATGTCTTTCTCTCTCTCTCTCTCTCTTTCTCCCTCTCGAAAGAAGAGACGTTGCTCGTCGTTGGCTCGTGCTCATCGACCCACAAGAAGTCATGTTTACGGTCCGTCGCAAGCCCTGAAATTACGTCACGAAGCCGAGCGAAACCGAGGGAAAGGAAAGCCCTAGGAAAGAACGAATATGGACAGGATCGTACCTGGAATCGCCACGAGGATGACAAGATTGCAACACGGCAGGCCTCGCGTCCTCGTCCAATGGGAGCACGGTCCTCACGTTCGGTCTCCTCACGGTCACCTCCATGGTGAGGTAGAACAGTCTCGGGTCACGGTGCCTCATTCGGTATTTGTTCAATAGGTTCTGAACGATTTCACGGCAAGTCGTCTCATACGTGATGCTCAGGGTCTTGTACTCGATGTCTGGCCGAAGACAGTTGGCGTACACCTTTATGGTTGTCTGTAAGAATCACGAATTTTCGTTAAAAATAATATTTTTCGTCGATATAATGTTTTTCAAGAATTTATTCAGATAGAAGATAGAAGCAATATTTCGAAGTATTGTTCCGAAAGGCTTAACAGTTTGAATGACTTCGAGGGTTAGGATTCAGACAGTCGATTAGGATTATTTCTAAGAAAGGAAACGAGCTCGTTTTAAAACGAGCGCAGGAAAACGAGACTGTTCTGTTGTCGAAAGGAGGAGCCAATAAAAAAAAAAGAAAGAAAAGGAAAAAAAATGGTAAAAACCCGACACGACGAGAAGCTTGACAATTAGTCCATAATTAACCCGGAGACAGACGTTGGCCACGCGCGGTGCATAAAACGCTATCAACCCTTCAGATACGCCGGCTACGAGGGGATGCGTGCACCGAAAATAAACCAGACACCAGATCACCCCGTTCGCAGATGGTTAAAAGTCATCCTTGTGTGTATTCATATGTCAAGATTAAAGTCCCGTTTACGCAGCGGTAGCCTATAATATTAAATACAAAGAGGAGGGGAAGGATGTCCCGTGAAAATTGATGTTAGCCCCATGAACGATCGGAACCAGAGAAACATCGTGAAAATCAACGATCCTTTTCGAGAAGATTTCGAATAAGAAAATTAAATTTTCATTTCTCCGATCGACAGCAGCAAACGATTCGATTAAATCCCCTCGTCTTTTCCAAATACGCGGAGAAATAAAGGGAAATAAAGCAAATTGGGATCGAGGCAAGAGGCTAATTATAAGCATAAAGAAATCCAATCTATCAATAGGCCAGATGTTGGCTGGTCGAAGGCTTGGCCCACACGTTCGCAAGTACCATACTCGATGTTTCGAAAACACGTGTAGGCAGATTTTATGACCGCGCTTTTATTCCCAACTGTAACAATCTCCGCGCCAAATGCGGCGAATCGTGCCCGTGATAAAAGTTGCCGCTGCTCGAATCACGGCTACGTGTCAGCGCACAATGATTTCACCTATCGGTGTACCGAGCGAAATCATGTGAAATGAATGATCGAGCTCGTTTGGATTTTCGCTAAGCCACGGCCACGCCGTGCAAGCACGTTTTCAAAGAGGATACCAGAGAGATTATCCTTTTATCGTGTAGTATAACGTCAATATCATCCTTTTATGCAACGGCCCCATTTGGCTATTTGGTTTCTGGATAGATTGGAGATAAATGGAGATTATAGTTGAAGGCTCGTGCCTCAACGAACTCAAGGGTCGCGCGTGTCAATTGCTACGTGTTCGATCAAATATTTATCCGCAATAAATTCGATATATTGCGATTAAATGTAAGTTCATGCGTGCAATTTATCTAATTTAATTTCGTATATTTGTATATGTAAATAATATTGAAGACAAAGAGATAGACTAAAAATTATATATATATATATATGTATGGTACGTAAAGTATCATTTTTATTCCAAGAATTTTTTCTCGACCTTTCGATACATTCGATATTTCAATTTCGTTCGTACGAGAGAACGTAAATGCCAGACTCGTGGTCGTATTTGCGTTTCAGCTAAACAAACAGCGGGGTTCTAGCACGCCTTCATCGTGGAATTCTCGGTGGCGTTTTACGAGGACCCAGAATCGATAGAGAGGTTTGCGTGTTTCGTTTCTAACTACTTTTAACAAAGCGGTATACGCTTATTAAACGTAGAGAGACGAACGCGTTAGAAACTCTGAGTTGGATTGTTGTAAAATTTTAACGTAGCTTTCGCGTGTTACCAGATACGCGATAAATAATGATTTTCACGGAAAAGAATCGAAAGATCGTCGCCAAGAGTTGCGAGATTTCTGATTCATCGAAGGAATTCCAATACGATTACGCGCGAACATTAAATGCGGTTTACGAAGAATTCTCAGGTGCTCGTGCACCCAGTATCGATCTTTCTTCCACTTTTTTTGCCCCTTGAACGTGGCCACGAAGCCTTTGCTTCTTGTTCCACGATTTCAAATTCCTTTACCACTTCCCAGTGTGCGATACTTTCCTTTGTTTCGTGTCTTCTAATATTTTCTTCCTGTATTCTTTCAAAAATATCCATCTTGTTTTAACGTATTATTACAATTTTTAATTTAAAAACAAGTTATTTTTTCGGACTCATATTTAAGCAAGATCGAATTCTTTTGATTATTATTTTAAAATTCTTATTAAAAATCTTTTACTTCGAAATCGTGTCGATATTGAATAACGAAATGGATAATTTCAAATATATCAAAAATCTAAATTAAAATTTAAAGTGGATAAAAAAAAAAAAGATGACTAGACCAGATGAAATCTTGGACAAAAACTTGGACAAAAAGATAGCAGTTAATGGGTTAACAAACTGTAAACGACCGAGGGATCCATTATAAAACCACACAAGCAGCAGCCATAACATTTTTGTGGCCCAACATGTCGATCGTGTTCGTCGCGATATTTGCATAACGGTACGAGTAATATGGTGCATTCCTAGAGAATGGTGAGCCAACCGATGACGATCGTTGTTAAAGGAAGAAACTGTTCGATATATTTTCCTCGTTGGCGGCGGCTAATGAAAGAGAAAATAATACGGAAGGTAAAGAAAAAGCGTGTAGAGGACCGCATACAAGTGTCAAAGGGAGGGTCTGTCACTCGTCACGAGTTTCAGAAAGAGAGAGAGGGAGAAGCCACCCCGTCAGGAGACATCAATAACTTGCAGCCGGTTATACGAACCGAAATACGCATCAGGATATTTCCGTTTGGAGGAGAGATGTTCTGGAACACAGAAGTGATAGTCTTATTAAAATTATATTCCAAAGAAGAAACAATTTCAACGATTTAAAGCTCTAATCTTTTTTCTTGCTCCGTGAATTTTAGCAAATCTAAGATTGAAAAATGGAAAATATGAAAATAAATTTTTCAAATCCATCACGATGAAAGCGTTGCTAATATAAATTTGATGTAATTTTAAGATATTTGAATTTACAGTACAATTTTTTTATGTTAGCGTACTTTCTATTTTGTAATGTAATGTATTTGTACATATATTTAACATATGTGAATAAATCCGTTTCAACTCAGATGGATAATTTAATTCTAATTTTGAATAAAAATTGTATTCACTTTCTAATCGAGCGAGTGACCGAGAATGGAACAATTTGAAGAGGTTAAACTTTGAAGAATTAACAGTTCCCTTCGTGGAAGTCGAAAAAACGTTCTTTCGTGTAAACGAATCGTTTTAATGGGGTGGTTAACAGGCAGGAATTCGACGAAGAGGAAGTCCACCACCCGCGTTAAACGAAAATCCACCGGCGTATCGAGCGTGAAACTCTAAAAAGAAAGAATTCAGAGGGGGGAAGAGATTGAGGAAGAGCATTGGGGTGGAATGGAGAATGACGCCATATGCTCGCAGGGTGCGTTATAACGAAGGGTCTTTCCTTAACAGGAATTCATCAAGCCCCTTATAAATCCTCGTCGTGCTTCGAAGAATGCGTGCACTTTAGAGTTTTCAACCGACCGTCCATCACCGTTCCAAACCAAATTGAATCGCACAATGGCTTGTTTCAACACCGGAAAATGACAGTGTGCAGTTATTCGTGGCGAATTTCCATGTATAAATACGCACAGTGGTTCGTCGATGTGCTGAAAATAGATCGCGATATCGCGAGCTTATCGTTATCTGTATTCTTTTACACCGGTTGAAGTAGAATGGCAAGCTGATGCGACACCCGTTATATCACGTATCCCCGATTCCAGGCAAGGTAAACGACACCTTTCAACGGAAATGCTGTTGAACGGCCTTGCTATTTTTCCAATCCGTTGACAGATTTGCATATTTATACTTAATTAAAGGTAAAACCGTTCTCATTGAATTAATTGAGCGGTATTTTCTCTAGTAAAAGTATCGTTTTTTTCAATAAATCGTCTTTAATTATCAAACTCGTTATATCGTACTCGTAAGTATATTTTTCATTGTAATTAATAATATCAGGCACAATTTGCTTAATTCACGATGACGACGACGATGATGATGATGATGATGATGATAATGGTGATGAGCGAAACGTTATTGGAATTAGTTGGATCAAAACGAGAGATCGCGTTTCCCAAGCATGAAAATTTCTCTTAAAAAGAGAATTGGAATTCGCAATTCGAAGAAAAGCGTGGTCGATTTTTCGGAATCCGGAAATGGAGAGGGATTATGAGAAGCGCTTTATAATTAGAGCGCGAAGAAAATCGTGCTGGGCCTACAATTGTCTACATTTGTCTACAATTTCTTCGTGACGAGTGTCCCACGCCAATGGAACCACTCAACGTCTATGCATTATCTGCTTCCCTTTCTATCTTTTTTTTTTCTTTCTTTTTCCCCCTTTTTGACCGCCATACGTTGCGACAAACGTTATTATTACACGTCTCGGTTTTTTCAACACCGAGCATAAAATTTTACGAGCACATTTCCATCGTGAAGAAAAACCGCGAGAAAAGTAAAAAAAAAAAAAAAAAATAACAACAAACACCATGTATTATAAATAATATCCGAACAAGATAATTAATAAAAAGTAAAAGTAACAAAGAGAGAGAGAGACAGAGAGAGAGAGAGAAAAAAAGATTAAAATGGAACGGCGATCGAACTTTTCGTCTACTTATACATATACACCTGCGAACAACGAAATGAAAGGCGACACATAGCGAAGACAATAAAGCGGTGGCAGCTCGTTTGGCGACTTTTCGATTCTTTCTTTCTTTCTTTCTTTCCTCTCCCTTCGTTTCGTCACACGAACGACGTGTTCATTAATTTTCATGCGAGCCCACGTACACGCGGTGCACGACCTCGGTTTGAATGGTGGCAGTATCGGCCAGTCCCAGGTAGGAACTCCCTTATAATAAATTCCTTATCCCAGAACTCCATTGAATCCCGAACGACAGGGTCCTCCTTCACCCCTTTCCGCGCTGGCACGTGCTTTTCAGCTGCCGCCACTGTCCTCTCCTCTCCACGCTGATGTCCTC